TTACTAGCACTGTTGCCCCTACTTCACAGCAAGGCTGGTGTAGAGAAGGCCAAGTTTTTGATGAGAAGGAATCTTACATTCCTAAGGGATCTTTCACTGAGTTCACAGGACTCCAAAATTCTCCCGGGTCCGAACTCTGCTGAGAATGGCCTTTTATACAACCATGCTCTAGCTTTTGGTGAACACAGAAATAAACCTTCTATATTCCCTTTGAAAACATTCCCCAAATCTGAAAAACCTCTCCTTACCACCCAAGTCCAAGCCACTGGCATCCATTTTCCAACTGTCCTCCTTGTTCTTACCCTTGGTCTCCTACAGTTCTATTCTCAACGGAGCAGCCATGGTGATCTTTTTAAAGCATAAATCAGATTGTGTCACACTCATCTTCTCCAGAGCCTACAATGGTGGTTCTCTCACTCAGCAAGAACCATAGTCTTCACAGTGGTCCATCAGACCCTCCACAACCTGGCTTCCCCATGACTTCTTTGATCTCATGCCCTGCTACCCTTCCCTGGGTCATTCCGCTTCAGGCACTCTGGCTTCCCTGCTGTTCACTGATCAGGTTAGGCACACACCCAACATGTGGGCCTTTGCGCTGGCCTACCTACCATGCCTGGACAGCAAATCTGGCTGCAAGGCTGACTCTCTCCCTTCTCCAAATCTTTGCTCAAAAGCCCTTACTGCTCTATTTAAAACCACAATCCCAATCTTGCTATTCTACCATCTCCTTCCCCTTCAATAGTTTTATACTCCCTTATCTAAACTCCGTTTTTTTAAAATTTATATAGCTTGCATCATCTTTAACATACAGCATTTGCTTATTTATTATCTGCTTGTTTGGCTATATTCTGTCTCTCTCTGCTATAACAAAAGCTGTAGTCGGGAGGAGTCCATCAGTTTCACTGACTGTTTTTAAGCACTTAGAGCAATGCCTGTTATATGGGAAGAGCTTAACAAACATTTGAATGAATGAATCCTCACTCCTTACATTACTGGCTTGTCTCAGTAGTTCCTTTTAAGGTCTCGAGGGTCCTGCCTAAAAGCTGAACCAGTCAAAGAAGAGTGAACGGCTTCACTGTACATTGTTTTGATTTTGCAGCGTATGTCAAGCTCTCCCCAGCACTGCTGAGGTTGAATAAGGGCTGCCTTTACTTCTTGATCTTATCTAAACTTGACACTGGGCCCAACTGTCCTGTCAATACCCGTGAGCTTCCTCCATGTGTCTACACTTCTTGTCACTTCTTTGTATACCAAAGACACAAAACATCTTATCCACCTCAACCAGAGCATCTCTGCTATCATTAGTTTAGATGAAACAGCTGAAATGATGCATGTCTGACTTCTTTCCTTCCCTCCATTTCTTTTCCTTTTTCCACCTCCCTTTCTCCTTCTTCTCTCCTCTTTCTTCCTTCCACCCTCCCTTTCTCCTTCTTTCCTTCCCTCCCTCTCTTCCTTCCTCCCTTTTTCTCTTACTGAAGTAGGATTGATGTACAACACTCTAATAGTTTACAATGTATAATATAGCGATTCTATATATTCACAGATTATATCTTATTTAAGATTACTATAAAATAGTTGCTGCCCTCTATAATATATCCTTGTACCTAACTTGTTTTAAATATAGTAATTTGTACTCTTTAATCCCCTACTGCTATCTTGTCTTGCCCCCTTTCCCTCTCCCCACTAGTCACCACCAGTTCGTTCTCTTTATCTCCAACCCTGCTTCTGTTTTGTTACATTCATTTTTAAAAATTTTTTAGATTCCACATATAAGCAACAACATACAATATTTGTCTTTTCCTGTGTGACTTATTTCACTAAGCATAAGGCCAACAGGTACATGAAAGACATGTGCTTCTTTTTACAGAATCTTTTTAAACTGGTACAGATTCAATAAGAATTTGAATCCAGAACATTTTTCCTATGATCTGGTCCATGCCAGATCTCAGTATTCTACCATGTTTTACCCAGATTCATCCTTGCTATACTCCACATAATACCCTAGAAACCACTTCATGCAAGGTGGCTGCTTGGGTTTAAATCCTTGCCTGACCAATACTAGTTGTGTCAACTTTGCCAAGCTACTTTATTTCATATTTCTTAAGTTTCTTCATCTATAAGATGTGGATAATAACTTTAGATAGTTCATTATGGGGAGTATTAGTTAATACAGGCTAGTTATCGAGTGCCTAAGCACTGAATACAAATTGATCCTCATTACTGAAGAAGAGAAATTGTAGCTGTCATCCTTATTCTAACTCATGCTTTTTTTTTGTCCTAATAATTCACCTTTATTCATGCCAGGTCCCAAATGAGTAACTAAGGCCTAATTAAGCAGATAATTGATAATAATAGCTCTGATATAAGAGTACTATTTTTGTACATGTTTCTCATTCATCAGTAGGTATACCTTAGCTGGGCTTCCCAGGTGGTACTAGTGATAAAGAACCTGCTTGCCAATGAAGGAGATATGGGTTCAATGGGTTCATTCCCAGGGTCGGGAAGATCCCCTGGAGGAGAGCATGGCAACCCACTCCAGGATTCTTGCCTGTAGAAAACCATGGACAGAGGAGCCTGGTGGGCTACAGTCCATGTGGTTGCAGACTCGTACATGACTGAAGCGACTTAGCACTACACATGCCTTAGCCAATGAGCATGCGAGTTCAGTTGTTTAGCTGTGTCTGACTCTTTGTGACCCCATGGACTGCATGCAGCCTGCCAGGGTCCTCTATTCATAGAATTTTACAGGCAAGAATACTGGAGGGGGTTGACATTCCCTTTCCAGGGGATCTTCCTGACCCAGGAATCAAACCCATGTCTCCTGCTTGGCAGATGGATCCTTTACCACTGAGCCACCTGGGAAGCCGCTGAGCTAGTGTAGCAATATTAAATGAAGGTTTCCGTATGTAAATAGGTGTTTGTTTATCTGCTTAGTTCTTGTCAAAATGATTAGGTAGCCTTCTGATTCAATACACTTGTGGAAATCATATGTGCTATATTATTTATACTTAGCTCAGAAAGTACTCATTTTAACTTATTGTACATTATTTGTGTTGTATTATACTTAAAAAAAATACGTATGTTAAATCACAGCACTACTTACTACAGTTCTGTAATTTGATTCATGCAAATCTGTCAGGAATAAAATCAACCACAATTTAATTTCAAACCTTCTCAACCAGCAGCTGTACAATTTATGCACTGCTTTTCTATTTTTACTACTAGATAATGACAATGATGAATGCCTTTAAGAGGAAATACATATTCATTGAAAAGACTGAGATCAAAACTATCCCCCTTCAAAAAGCCAGTAAAGGTAAGAAGACCATTTGCTTGTTGCAGGAGACATGGTGAGAGTGAGATGGCATTATACCTCAAACTCCATCTAATGAGGATTCAATAATCTAGCTAGATTTAATCTACAATAATCCAGTTTTACAAATCACAGTAATCAATACCATCACAGTCTTTTTTGGTATCAGCTATAAGACTATTAAAAATATCTGCAAGAAAAAATAATTAGCTGTGAGTGCACCCGGGGACCTATCCTTCTGAGTATACCAGGTTAAGAGGTATGAGGACAAAGACATTCAATTGTGAACAACTGTGAACTTAATAAGTTTAGGGTCACTGCTCTCCTGACCTGTCTGTCCATGAACATGGAAAGGAATGAATATTATTTCATTAGCAGTGATTTATATGTTGAAGGACAATGATGAACTTACAAACTGTGCTGTCATGAGAAATCAGTTAATGTGAATTATGACAGGAAGGTTGGCAAGTCTCTTTTATCAATTGATTTGAGTTTCTTTTCTTCACTGTACCCACGAGTGATTTGACTTTTACTTCAAAGAGAACAAGTAACAGCACCATACCAAATGGATGGAGGAGCTCCAGAGATTCATGCATCTATTTTAAAGTATAATTTTTTAGCTTATTTGATATAATGCATGAAATTAAACTCAAGTCACTCAAGATATTGCTACTCTGATTTCGAAAACAAACAAATGGCTTATATTTGTATAGTTAAGCAAATATGTGATATGGAATGAGATATCAAGAAATCATTTAGAGTAGAAAATTCTTTACCTGATAGGTGCTGTTGAGAGCAAACTTATTGTCTGTCTGTAATCTTACACTATCTGCACTGGAAAATACTAAGCTCTGGTTACACTAGAAAGTTTCATTTTGAGTGTGAAATGTATGATCACAAAAATTATCTTTTTTTTTTTACACATAATAGAGACACAAACTATTATGTGTATTTTCTTGATGCTACATTTATCTTCAGACACGTCCCTCTAAAATTTAAAGTTTATTTCTTTATCCTCATTTGTTTTAGTTTGGAATTCAGAAACTTATAGTTGGTGCTATGAAAAAAAAGCTGGATTTGGCTGGAGGCTTTTGCCTGGTGATTTTAAATAAATTATTTTACTGCTTTATATCTGATTACATTCCAAAAGTTGTAGTATGATACTGACACTAATCTGAAATGGAATCTATAAATTATAAGTGGAAAATAGAAAACTAAAATGATATACACAACAGATATAATTTAAAACCTCATCTAATTTCCCCTTTTATGGGAAAAGAAAGACAAGCAATGTATCAGTTGGGAATAAACTGTTTCTCTAGCAAGGTATGTGTTTTAGTGAGTTCTTTCTGCCCTGAACAATAGTACTGGGTTGGCGAAAAACTTCGTTCAGGTTTTCCTGTATACTGCAACAGAAAATCATGAAGCAACTTTTTGGCCAACTCAATATAAGAAATTATTATTTTCTGAGTTTCTTCATTTTGGGAAGAAATAACACATCTATTTGAATTTACATTTCTCTTTCTCCACCAGATTTCTAAAACTAACTCTCTCGCAAAGTGTTTTAAGATTTCCATATGTTAACTCAAAATGCCTTCAGTATACATATTTAAGTCAAATGTTCTGGTCCAGTAATGATCAATGTAATGATCTTGTAAAAATCTGAATGGAAGTGCTTTGGTTTTACCTTCAGAGATTCCTCTTGTTTGAAGAGATCTTGAAAATCTTTAGCACAGAGGTCAGGAGCATTGAGAAGTTGTTCCACTTCTGAAAGGGCTTGTAAGACGTGAGTGATCTCAGTCAGGTAAGTAGAAGGCACATAAGAAATTTCCAAAGGCATGTCTTCGGTCATCACCATCACTGATTCTTCATGGACAGTGTGCTGGTATAGATATACAAAAGAACAATTCTTTTAGCTTCCTAATATTGAAAAGACCTTTACTGAATTCATATATAGATTCCAGTTTATAGCTGACAGAGGGCTGAAAAGTGGATAAAAACAATGCAAGATGGTAAGTCTAGTAACAAGGCTATCTATTATCATACCCTCTCTTTCAAAAAGTGTTAGAGCATTTTATAATAAGAGATATGCACACATTAGCATCATGGATAGGAGAATGAAAGACCAACAGTCATAAGGTCACAAGAGGGATAGTTTTTCGCTAAGAAACAAATAAATCTTTACAACTTTTTTTTTTTTAAATGCAGTTCTACTTTGACTAGAAAACTAAGTATGGGGTGGGATGCAGTGGGAGTTGGGGGCAGGTTCTACATCTGTGGTATTCATACCCAAGCGACTGTTTCTAAACTTTTTTCCCCTAATCTTGATTGAGGCACAAAAGGGACAAAGTGGTTTTCATTGGTAGCTAACTTTCTATTAAGCAACTTTCTCCTCTAAATTCCCAGCATCAACCCTTCTCTTTGATGCTAGTTTCTTGCTAAGTTAAACTGCAAAGTAGGGCCCGAGATAAGTAGGATTGAGAATGAAATTCACATCCTAATAAGAACTCCCCAAAACCCAAAGATCCAAGAGAGCACCCGCCTCTCCTCCTGCACTCCGCTTCACTACCTGCCATTCACATGCTAGGAGACGGACATTCGGGCCTCAGAGACTATTTGGACTTGGTCAGGGATGCCTCTTTCCCTATTCTTTATAAGAGCAAGAAATAAACACTGTACGGCACACAAATGCAAAAAGATAAATGACCTCTACTCTCTGTTTACACTCTAAGCAGAATAATTTTTGTAATTAAAATTAGTTTCCCAATAACTTTGTTTTGAGTTCATGGACTGCCATCTGCCTGGTGATGTGGTCAGCTGAAGGTTTCCAGTGGCAGGGTCTCTGGGAGAGTTCTGACGATAAACATGCTAATGCAGTCATTTGTTACCGCACAGCCTTTACAAGGAGACCATCCCCATGTTTGCAGTAATGTAATTAAATGGAGTTTAGGATCCCAGACTGAGCACGCACAAAGATGAGTAAAAATATAAGCTGGTCTATTTATGTTTTCTTTTGATCACCCAGGTCCAGGATTCTTGTACACATTTCTTAGATAATACAAAAACAAAATAATCCTAATTTAGATGGCTTATCTACTTATGATATTGCAAATTCATAGAATTACACAAATTAGCTGACATTACAAAATTGTACCTTTTACAAAGTTTGGCTTCCTGGGTGTACCTTGGCCAAATATATGACACTTATTCCTTCTTGATCAATGGAATGATAATCGAAATGCACTTATAATTTTACATTAAAATAATAGAATTTTGGGCTAGAGTTGGAAGATTTCGTCCCTCCTACTGTCTTCATACATAGTATCCAGTCATCACAGATAAGAGAAGTTAAGTGATGAATATCAGGTGAAGAGTGAGAGCTAAGGGATGATCTTGTGAACTTTTATGAGAAACAGAATATTTGGAAAATTGTCAACTCATTTTCAAGAAAATTCAGTTATACATTTTGAGTGTTCTCATTTATTATAAAGTTATAATAGATACAATAATTTTCAATACAGAGAAATGTATCAGAATTTTCATATACGATGAACGGAGACTCATTGTAAAAGTGAACCAAGAGACTTGGGTATTTGGAGATTTAGTTTACTATCTACCCCTTAAAATACATCGTTCCTTTTGACACAGTCATGCAGATCTATAATGAATAAACTATATATACTGTATACCTTTCAGTTTGGTTTTATTAAAAATTTCAGAGAGTTATTAAAAAATCAGTGTAATTGGAAGTATCGTGTTCATTTTCTCTTCTTTATGCAAAACCGTGCACTCATATTCAGATTTTTTTCCTTTTCATTTGAATTTCATTAACTCTACCTTAAATAATTATATCCTTCTGAATTCTGATGTGTACAAATCCTGTCTAACCTTTAGAAAATCAACTTGCTTTTGTTAATGTTCTTTACCACCTTATATCATTATAGATATTCATGCATCATTAGCAAGGAAGTGCTATAGCCATACTAATTCATTTTATTCCTCTCTGTTCACATTCATTTCTAATGATATATACCCAAAAGAATACACTATGCTCATTTTCCTGGAATGAAAATCGAGAGATGTGGAAGAAAGCCCTAAAGTACCTATTTTTATGAACAAACGGAAAGCTCAATTGAAGTTTAAAAAGGATTATTATGGGACAAAGTTATGATTTTTAACATATAAAGTTGAGATGAAAACTGGTTTCAAATTTTGAGCTCTGTAAGTAGGCACAGGTATCACTCATAAAGTTTTTAATAAACTTCTGTCTCTCTAAAATTTTAGCTATCACTTTTTGTACTACTTAAAATTTGATTCCTGAAGGGCCATATTCCATGCATGAAATACAGACAATACTGTTTTGAAAAAAATGATGTATTGTATCTAAGTTTTAAAAACAAAATGTTTTCCTCCATGATTTAAAGGGCTTCTCTCTCGTCAGTATAAAAGTTTCAAATGGGTTGTGGTTACTGGCTCATTTATGAGTTATGAGGTCAAAGAAGCTCAAGAAGAAAAATGTACTGTATGCCATATCATTACGATATATTCTTTAAAAATACCTCTATATCTAATATAAATGTGGTATATAGAAAATATGCCAACAAATTCAAAGCCTAACAAAAAATAGACAAATACCTGGGCAAAAATGTAATGGTTTTTTTGTAATGATGGAACATTATTTTTTTTCACTTCATTAGCGTTCATAAGGATGAAGATATGTCAAATCTTTAATACAAGATTATTTATCAATAATTTAAAGTGTGCTATCATATGAAAACCTGTTAATTTATATTTTCTTATCTTTTAAAAATAGCATCCTTAAGTATTACAAATAATTTAAAAATAATAATACATGATCTATAAATCCCCAAATGGTTTACAGGTTTTTACATAGGTTCTGATGGGTCATAAATAATATGGTAATGGGAAAAGACTTTAAGACAGGCAACTTTCTCTTTGTCTCAAAAGTCTTAAAAAAAAGTTTCCTTCTAATAAGATGGGCAGTTGAGTTATTAGTATTTCTTTCTCTTTGACCATGTATAGAAATTATAGCCCTAAAAAGGCAAATCAAATAATCAAATTTGGCAAAATTAATCCATCTAGAGAAAGAAGACTCAAATAGTATGGCATACCAAAAAAAAAAAAACAAAACAAAACCAAGAATATGACACAGCTAAGATAGGTAAGGGTATAGTCTTTCCTGTTCACAGTTTCGGATACACATAAATGGCACGGCAATACTATCATTCTGACCGTACTCAGCCTTGCGTGCCTTCAATCAAGTCACTGGGCAGAATGACCTTAAATAATAAGCCTAATGAAATCACATGAGTTGGTTATGATCCTCAATAAAGAAAAGTGCAATTTCCATCCTTCTTCACTGCATTATCAAGAAATCTGCTTATGTGAAGCTATGTCACACAAAGAAGGGGAGGATCAATCTTTGAATGATCATAAACCAGTTCATCAACAAATTTTATTAAGCTTATAATTTACCCCTTCTTCCCTGGTAGCTCAGATGGTAAAGAATCTTCCTGCAGTGCAGGAGACCAAGGTTGGATCCCTGGGTTGGGAGGATCCCATGAAGAAGGGAATGGCAACCCACTCCAGTATTCTTGCCTGGACAATTCCATGGACAGAGAAGCCTGGTGGGCTACAGTCAATGGGATCACAAAGAGTTGGGCATGACTGAGCGACTGACACTCACATTTGGTTCAAAAACAATAAAACACACTACATGCATAAAATACTTAGTATAAAGTATTACAGAAAGTCATTCCTTATATCTATATTCATTTTCTAAAATTAGAACAAACTTTTGGTGTAAGGCAAGCTAGCAGGGAAAGAGACAATCAGCTGGAGCTGAATATAGTATTCTTTAAGAACATCCTACTTCCAGGAGGCCAGGTATAAGTAGTGTCCGTTATAAAGGGTCTGGTTGCACCTGTTCTTTGATCTGCCTTGTGTTGATTCTTCCCTTCCACATCATCAGATTTACTTAATTCCTTAGGGCCAAGCTAAATTACCATCTAATTAAACTGATAAACTGAATGTCGATAATGTGTTAACGACTTATAGTTGTTTAAAGTGTTATCCTTCATAAGATAACATTTGCATTTTAATAAGGATTTCTAATGAATTAACATAAATTAGTAACTTGGTAGAAATTTAGTCACTAAGCCAGTGAGAAAAATGACAGAAAAGGCTTTTATTCCCACCAAGGAAAGCACCAACACATCAGCACCAACATATATGGCCGACCTCATGAGAAATCACCAGTAAAATAACACGATAATTAAACAGATAAGGTTATATAACCTAGGTACCTTACAATATAAAGTAAATTCAGCACTCATGCATAATATCTAGTCTAGCCTACAGTAGGTATTCAAGAATATTTATTAAATAAGTGAAGAAACTATCAACTTAAAAAGATAATTTTTACAACACATATTTGGCTACAACTGCTGAGATCTACAGTAATACAATAATTTCCATTTTTAAATTCCAATAATTCAAACAAGAATATTTTCTTCATTTCATAATGTAATCTTCATTGGTATAGATTTAAAAGGTATTTCCGATTTAACTATACAGCATTTTTCCAATTTAATGCACACAAACTAAATGCTATTGCAGGTATGTGTCTTGGTTCAACTGTCTCTCAGATTTTAATGTAACTCATATGTGAACAAAATAAGCCATTATTTGAGGAACTGTTATACAAATAGTTTTAGAAGATATTTATTTTAGCTTCTTCACAGAGGTCCACACTGCTTATTAACAAATGGAAGTGTGTGAGAAGGCTTGCAGTCAAGAACTTTTTTTCCTTTCTAACTTTTTCCAAAGTCTCCACATAAAACTTATAATTTATATATCTAG